AATATCTTTCAAAAATTCCCTTCTGGTCGCATGTTTTCCTGTCCTCAAAATGTGAAGTTGTCTGAGTGAGATCTCAAAACCAGGTAAAAGATTAAAACACCAAACTTTTATGAGTAATAGATCTTGAGGAGTAGGCGAAACCATTTGGGTTAAACGCGTCAGTCGTCACTTCCGCTTGTCACAGGAAGTGATCAAAGAAATCTAAAAAAAATTAACTTTTCTTTTTTAAATTAATGCTTCCATCACTTTATTGCATCTCTTTCGCTGTTTTGAAATATGTTAGATTCCATCGGAAACAAAAACGTCAACTTCCGGTTTTATGAGTTAAACTACGTTATTTTTATATTTAACTTTCTCATAAATATTGCTCATCGATAAAGTACTTGAAATGACTTTATGTATGTTGTATATACTGCAAATGTCTAGAGAAAAGTCAGAGATTTTTATAAAATTCACTTCCGGTCTCGTGTTTACCTGTCCTCAAAATTAGAATTTGATCTCACAATATTGCTCGGCAACAATAAACGACTGAAGTCTAAAACTTTCAGGACTGATGGTCAGTCGTCAGTTTATTTGAATCGTGAGAAAATCTTGTATCGCCGGTACTTCCGGTCGTGACCGGAAGTGATGTAAAAAATTGAATGGTTAATGGTTAGCACGTTGGATTTTCACTCTGACGACCAGGGTTGAATCTCCAGAGTGTCTGAATTTCTTTTATCTCTTTTTCAGCTTGAATTTTCGTTTTTATTTTCAGAATCGGACGGAAGACCTCTCATTGCTCGCAATGAGTTTCTAGTTATTATTATTATTATTATTATTATTTTTTTGACCAAATTTTGTGCAGGCGTTTTCTCCAAAACTATTGAGTGGTTTTACGTGAAACTTTCAGGAAAAATTAGTCATTGTATGAAGTTTGTTCATCACAAGGAAAATTTGGAAAATTCCATTCTGGTTCCAAGTTACGGGCAATTTCCTGATTTTTAAATGAAATGTCCGCGAATGTTCTCAAGAACGGTTAAAGATATGAACTGGAGACTTATTGGAGAGCATACAACGTGACATTTTAATTTGTGGAATCGCCTTTTCGTTCGTCGTCGGCACTTCCGGTCGTGTACGGAAGTGATCAAAGAAATCGTAAAATTTCAACTTTCCTTTTTTGAATTAATTCCTTTATCACATTATTGCATCTTTTGTGTAGTTTCGAAATATGTTGGTCCCACCGGAAACAAAAACGTCAACTTCCGGTTATAAGAGAAAAACTACATAATTTGAGTATTTTTCTTTACCATTAATACCTTTTGTAGATAAAGTATTTGGAATGAATTTTAAATATGTTATTCAGACTGCATATGTCTAGAGTAATGTCAAACATCTTTGTAAAATTCACTTCCGGTCGCGTGTTTTTCTGTCCTCAAAATGAGAAGTTGTCTGAGAAAGATCTCGGAAACAGTAAGAGATTAAGACACGAAACTTATATGAGCAACAGACTTAAGATGTAGCCAAGACCATTTGGGTTCAGAGCGTCAGCCGTCACTTCCGGTCGTCACAGGAAGTGATCAAAGAAATCGAAAATTTCAACTTTTCTTTTCTTAATTTAAATTGCATCACCTTATTGCATCTTTTTCGCAGATTCGAAAGATGTTGGTCCCACCGGAAACAAAAACGTCAACTTCCGGTTATAAGAGAAAAACTATATAATCTGAGTATTTTACTTTCCCATAAATATTCTTTATAGATAATGTATTTGAAATGAATTTTAAATATGTCATTCAGACTGCAAATGTCTAGAGTAACTTCAAATATCTTTCAAAAATTCACTTCCGGTTCCGTGTTTTTCTGTCCTCAAAATGAGAAATTGTCTAAGCAAGATCTCAAAAACAGGTAAAAGACTAAAACACCAAATTTTTATAAGTATCAGACTTTAAGGAGTAGGCAAAACCATTTTGGTAAAACGCGTCAGTCGTAACTTCCGGTCGTTACAGGAAGTGAGCAAAGAAATCGAAAATTTCAACTTTTCTTTTTTAAATTAAAGATTGCATCACTTTATTGCAACTCTTTCGCTGTTATGAAATATGTTAGATTCCATCGGAAACCAATACGTCAACGTCTGGTTTTAGGTGATAAACTATGTTATTTCGATATTTAACTTTCTCATAAATATTGCTTATCGATAATACTTGAAATGTTTTTATGCATTTTGTAGATACTGCAAATGTCTAGAGACACGTCAGAGATTTTTTTTTTTTTTTTATAAAATACACTTCCGGTCGCTTGCTTACCTGTCCTCAAGATTAGAATTTGTTCTCACAATATTTCTCGGCAACAGTAAACCACTGACGTATAAAACTTTCAGGACTGATAGTCAGTCGTCAGTTTATTTGAATGGCGAGAAAAATCCGGTCGTGACAGGAAGTGATGCAAAAAAGTGAATGGTCAATGGTTAGCGCGTTGGATTTTCACGCTGACGACCAGGGTTAAATCTCCAGAGTGTCTGAATGTTGTTTATCACCTTTTCAGCTTGAATTTACGTTTTTATTTTCAAAATCAGACGGAAGACCTCTTATTGCTGGCAATGAGTTTCTAGTTATTATTTTTTTTCTTCCTGGGTACTTTTTTGTCCGTGAGTGATCTCCGAAACTATACATCCGATTGAGTTGAAACCTTTTTAGGGTTAATAGGAATGTTATGTAGATTTGCGGAACGAAGGTCATTTTGCGCGCACGTCCGTGCGCGTGCAATGAGTAAAATGACCAATATACTTGATATAGCCATAACTTTTATATCTTTTATATCTTTTGATGAAATACTTTGATATTCAGAATATAAGGATATATTAATAGTGTAGACAAGATGACATGGTCAGAATGCACATGCATGCACGTGCGCGCATGCGCATTGATTAAAATAACCAATACAATTGATATAGACTTAACTTGTACATTTTTTAATGAATTGCTTTGACACTCAGAATTTAAATATATATTAGAAGTGTAGACAAGAAGACTTGATCAGCGCACACATACATGTAGGTGCGTGCACGTGCGTGCGCGTGCGTGTGCAATGAGCAAAATGACAAATATACTTGATATAGCCATAACTTTCAACTCTTTTGATGAAATGCTTTGATACTCAGGATATCGGATATATTAATAGTGTAGACAAGATGACATGGTCAAAATGCACATTCATGCACGTGTGCGCATGCGCAATGATTGAAATAACCTATACGAATGATATAGACTTAACTTGTATATTTTTAGATGAATTGCTTTGAAACTCAGAATATAGATATATATTAGAAGTGTAGACAAGAAGACATGATCAGCGCGCACATGCATGCATTTGCATGCACGTGCGTGCGCGTGCAATGAATAAAATCACCAATATACTTGATATAGCCATAACTTTTATATTTTTTGATGTTATGCTTTGATACTCATAATATATAGACATATTATAAATGTAGACAAGACGACATTGTCAACATGCATATGCATACACGTGCGCGCGCATGCAATGCTAAAATGACCAATATACTTGATATAGCTGTAACCTTTATACTTTTTGATGAAATGATTTGATACCAGAAATATGTAGATATATTTATAGTGTTGACAAGATGACACGGTCATCATGGACATGCATGCACGTGCGCGCGCGTGCAATGCGTAAAATGACAAATATACTTAATATAGCCGAATTTTTTTTTTATCTTTTAATGAAATTTGAATATAAAGATGTATTAAAAGTGTAGACAAGTTGACATGGTCATTTTGTACATGCATGCCCGTGCGCGCGCGTGTGTAATGCGTAAAACCCCCCCAATATACTTGATTGCCTTATTAAATGAAGCTTACAGGGAATAAGACACCAAAAGGAAGTCGGGGAGCGTTTGGGGAACATCTGTAACGGTCTCCGTTACAATTAATACTAGTTATTTATTATCCTACTAGGAAAGTAATGCTATATTTAAATTCATGCATCATGTGACACCGTCGCTACTTTTAGATTGATAAACAAAAATGGCGTCAAGAAAACGAGGTAGGCCGTTTGGTATACAAAATAGCTTTTGACATGGATGGCATACGTTTTATGTTTAAAGATACTTATCTTTGAAAAACAACCATTATTAACCATCTACTCTGTAATGACAGATATTAACTTTTATTCAAAATAGTAGTCAATATGCAACGTATCTCGTTGTCTATGATTTCCCGCGGACATGCGTGTCTATATACTGTTTACGCACTTCCTTCATCAATATTCATGAATAGGCTGAATTCTTAATTGCAGATCTTGCTTAATTGTTTTGTAATTACAACGAATTATTTAGTCAAACTTTGTGGAAAGTAATTATTTTTTATTACACATCATGTTTCTCAAATCATTTAATCATTTTGTTTTACATAAAAAATCGCGTTTATATAGCGTGTATATCTTTAAGAATTGATTTCTTAAGCAATGGGAAAATTATTTATCGCAATTAAATTCTTTTCTTTTTCAATCGTTCGTGTTGAAAAATCATTACCTGAAATTAAAAAAAAATAACCAAATGGTCTAACAGGAGAATATAATTTTTTCATTAACACAAACATAGTTCAGCGTATCTAATTTGTTTAATTGCTTTCACAGGTTAAAGTTGACCAATGAGCATATAATTGTCCAAGCGAATGTGTTAAAAAGACGCGATAGAATCGAGGCAGTGGGCGAAATGGCTGCCTATTACAGTGTAAATAATGTGATGTTGAGTGGCCGCTGGCCGCATTACACAGGTGGCCGTTTATTCCAGTTAAAATAGATAAGAAAAATCGTCGAGGGGAACTGTATATCACAACTGAACAGAGAGAATCCAAGACATGTACTTCTCAATAATCAAATACGACACAACTTCAAACAGTAAGTAGAGTCCAACACCAAAGAAAAAAATAAGTATGATAAAGAGAATGATTTTTTTCTGCATAAAACGTGAGCATATAAGCTTTTCTCCATTAATAAATGTATCAAATTTTCTCATCAGCTTTCTCATAGATGTGAAGCTCATCATAGGTGTTGTGTTTGCCGAGTTCTCCGAGTTCTGCATAAGGGGAAGTTCTGTTATAATTAATAGATCAACAATATTAGATAAGTCATTTTTAGAATATATTTTACAAAATGTTTCATATCGAATTGCAAACATTTAATTAGTGAGAGAAGAAACTATGCATACTTATCCCCCGCACTGTATTGATCTGGAAAGTAAAAAATGAAGGTAAAAAATTATCTTTGAAATCAGAGATTAAAGTTACCATAATAATCAAACGTAAGATTTTGTCGCCAGCTACACATACAGATAGTTTAAAAAATATTCTGTATGTATTTTCATAATTACATAACGAGATAATGTAGAATACACTATGACCCGAGAAAGATCATAGACAGCAAACCTCTGATCAACACACAACTTATAATAGAAGATTTTTGTTACGGAGCTTAAGACATACGTATCTGATATTTCTGATTTTAAGTTTTGAAATCCTTTCAAACTAAGCTTTTATTGGGATAATTGTTGACACTTTTGAGAATCTACTAGTCAGAGTTGTTAGAAAAGCTTACTTTGTAGATTTAAGGTCAGTTTATTTCTGATATGTTTTAAAAATAAAATAAGGTCAATTTATTTCTGATATGTTTTAAAAATAGTATTATTCATTGCATGGAAATTAACACAGACAAATCATTAATATGCACTAGAAATTAAGTCAGCACATAAATAAGGCATTCTTGGTTTAAATTTTGAAATCCTAGAAATATTACCTGCAATATCGACAGCTGGAAATTCCTTCACATTATCCTTTTGATTGAAGAACTTTTCAATCGTACCTTCATTTAATCGAAGAAAATATAGCGATTTTAATATCTATAATCTTACAAAATGTTCCTTCTTTTTTGTTTTATTTGACGTAAAAATTCTCAATTTCTTTGTTGTAAAATGCATTCTATTCTAATCTTTTTAAATCAAGATCAAAAAGAGTCTAACTTATTTTAAACCATACAGTAAAACGTGATAATGTGAAATCGTTTTATTTCATTTTAAGGAGAGAGTCATTATATAGCTCTTAAAAAATTAGCATTTTCATAGTAATATCCATACTTCAAAAAATCTTTTTATTGCAACCCTTTCAAGTCAACATAGCAGACATTCTCAAATTTCTAACGTTGAAGTAATCTGATTACTCACTCTGATTTCGTTTCCAGATCAGGTAATTTAAGACACTTCCGGAGATAACGATTAAAACAGAGACAATAATACTAATAATGGTAGTAGTGTTGCCACAGCTACAAGCTTCACACATCTGTGACTGCGAAATTTTATAAAATGAGGCATTATTAATCAATAACTCAAACATAAGGGTCAGTCGACGGAAACATCAAGGTAGCATTAAATTTAGTTACCGGTAAACTTATATATTTTCTAGCGTGCTATCGTTTTAAAAACATTTTCTTTCTTTCAAATCACGAGTATTCGGCAATTCCTTTTAAAACAACATAAATTTAAAAAATGCATATCCTCCACTGCATTTTTTGACATATATTTGATAGCTCACCTTAACATAAGTTTCACAAACTCCTGATTCGTGATGACATATCTGGTTGACACAGTCTGTGTGACATTTCCTTTTACAATTCTCACCCCAGTATGATCGTCTACAAACTACAAAGAAAATAATTCTAAAAAGCACTGATCGATTTTGTAAATACAAAGGTATCTGTACATATAAGACATGGTATTTCATATGATCATGTCTCCGATTTTGGAAAGAAAGAGAATTAATATTGTAAGTTATATGTTTGTCTACAACCTTTCATACAAAGAGATCCTTCGTAACCAGAGGAACACCCTTCTAAACAAGAGCCGTTGACATGGTGGCATTGTGTGTCATTTAAACAGTGGCCACAGGTTTGGTTACAAATAACCCCGTAAAGTCCGACTCCACACTCTTTATAAATAAAAAAGTGATCTGTTTATTTTCTTTAAATATTAAAAGAATGATATGATCAAGAGGTATGTATCTCATATTTTTAAAATCTTTTTTTCCTTTTTAATAAATAAATGAATTTTGAAATATAACGAGTTATTCCTTTTCATTTTTTTTCTTATCAAGAATGTATCTGCAAAGCACCTCTCCCTTGTACGTACTCTTATCACATTGAATTCCTTGCCATCCGGGCTGACATCCTCCCTCACAATGTCCAGTTATTCTGTCACATCGCTTAGACACTCCACAGCTTTTACTGCAATTCCGCATGCAGTGTTTTCCGTAGAAACCAGGTATACACTCTACCAAAACAATAAAAGGGGCTAAATTGTAATGTGAGCATAAAATCTTGACCAGATTAACATCTTCCATTATATAAATATTGCATGTAGTTGAGTGTAACTTTGAAAATTAAATCATTGTCAACCGAGGCGGAGCCGAGGTTGACAATAGTTTTCGAGGGGTGAATTTTTTCTCATTTTACACTCAACTACATGCAATATTTATTATATTATACTGGATGTTTTATACACATACATATTACAGTGAACCTTGCGCGCATAAATTCTGCGCAGTCAATGTTTTTTTAATGTTACCCGTCGTCAAGCAATGCTGACTGTTGCTACGCTGGAGGGCGTGGCTTCATTATTAAGCGGGTAATAGTGTTTTTTAACAAATGTTTCTCGACGAATCAGATTCAACTTATTTACATGAAAGTATAATATAAGAAAATGGAGAGAACTTATATAAGCCACTTTTGCCTGCTGTTCATTTAATGTTAATTTATATGATGACCGTCAAGCGAAAACCACCCTTATGTGCATTGTGACGTTATCGAGAAAACGAGCGGTAAAGTTGACGTCATAAATGTTTGCCGTATTTTGCAAATAAATGCAGTGTGAAGACGCATCATTAATTAATATATTTCTTTATAAAGTAAATGCCTAGACTAGACAACATAATGAGTAGTCTTAAGTGTAATTATTAAAGCCTTCAGTTTAGTATTAAAAAAATAATTTTTTTAACAATTTATAGCAAACTGAAGGTGAAAATCTTTCGAAGTAGCGAATGCACGATCCTCGACCTTGTTTTCATTTTCAAGGAGCATTTTCTTTTTACTTAGAACTAAAACACAAATATGGGGAGAAATCGCACATTATCTTGAGGCTTGGGCAATAACAAAAAGAATATAGATCTACTCTTATTCAACATGATTTTTTGTCACTATTAATTAATATTTCTATATTTATAATAAAAATCACAGAAAACCTAATCAAAGGGTAAAGCCAAGGTGTTGGATTTTATACAAAGGTATGGAAGTTTATTTGCATACTAAACAGCATTATGTACCAAAAATCAATAACAAGCTTGAAGGAACTGGGAAGGGGGGGGGGGGGTCACAGGAATATAATTTTCCAGTATATAATTTAATTTGGGAAACAAAGCTATAAATTTACAGTTGTGCACCCTCGGTACAATTTGGCCGGTTTATACTATAACAAATGAAAAAGTTCGTTTTGTTTTGCTTTATGTTATTGCTTGTCAAGAATCCCCGTTCTGTACTGTTTTGCTTGCCAAGAATCCCCCCCCCCCAAAAAAAAATAAATAAATAAAAAAATTGCTTCCTACGTGCCTGAAATAATCTACATGGATGTTAACAGAAGGGAAGTAACCTGCATTATAATTATTTATTGCTACCTGGCAACAGGAAGCGTTCAGTATTCACCACTTCCTCCAAAGATTTTTCGGTATCTGTGTGTATTTTATTTGCATGTTTATCGATATTTAGAGGGGAAAGTATAAACTGTTGATTATTCGTTCTATAAAATAGTTGTTAAAAAAGAGTTTAAAACAAATTGATATTTTAAAATTTTTAATCTGTTCATACTCTGAAAGGAATAATACTGCAACATTATGAATCCTTCGATCAGTTAATTAAAGACAAACACAACCTACATGTTTTGGGAAAAGATGAGAAATTATCATGAAAATGAAATTATTTAGACTCTAAATTGTGTTGGAGATAATACTAGTAATACATGGTTTAAGGTGGGTATAAGCAACTTTAAATTTGATGAGGTCAAAGAAATAAAATTAATTAAATTGATTCAAATAAAACTTGAAACTGATGTAATATTTAGCATTTGGCGAATAACTATTTAAGCTATTTTAATGTGTCATTTAATCGACCAATCAAACCACAATTGTACAACTGTGTTAGAAACTTCCAGGAGTTAGTTGCTTTCGGGTTATTTTCCTCCTTCTACCGTGCAACCACGGAAAAAAGAAGTTTATTCTAGTATGGTCTCGCTCACGACGCTCAGCCAGCAGGAAGTAGACATGCAGTGGGATTAACAACATTCAAGGCTCTTTGTACAACCCGCTGCACCATTTTCAACAGATTTACGACAGGTGCATTATGCAATGGACTATTCTTAAGCGCTTTCAATTCCGCACCACGTATATGTACATGTATGCCAAGTTGACCTAGTGTGTTTTGGAGTACATATTTGGCCATACATGGTACAGTGCAGGAAACTAATTTTGTTACAGCATCCATGCTGATTTGAATGCTTCCTTTGCTTGCTGATTTGAATGCTTCCTTTTCTTGCTGATTTAATGCTAGTAATCCTTATCCTGATGCTGTTTTATAATTAGGTCAATGCTACCGGAAGTAGATAATGAATTTCAGCATTGCCGTTTAAAGCAATAAAAGTGCCTTTTACAATTATTTGATCATAATATCTCACTATGTATCAATAATGTGAATACTTTAACCAATATTCTTTCTTTCTTTTTTTAATTTTTTACTGAATTAAAACTCATTGATTTTCTGATGCTAGTAGGATAATGCTGATTTTATGGAGGTCAATGCTGGTTTTATCCTTTGCTTGCTGATGCTGATCCTGGTAATGCTGTTTTTTAAATGCTGATCCTGATGCTAGCTCGATCCTGATGCTACTAATGCTTATGCTGATGCTGGTTTATGTAACAAAATTAGTTCCCTGCACTGTACTTAGTACATGCAACGCTCTCTCTCTCTCTATCAAAAAAGGAATTGTTTTAATGCTGCATTTTTGCATTTTTCGTCTCATGCCACTCTCTATCTGCATAAAATCTGTTCAGAATTAATGTGTGAGGATCGTATGTTTTGGTCTTTTTTTCCGATGGTGTATTTCAGGGAAAACGTCTTAGATTCTTAAGGCGAAATCAGGTGTTATTTAAAAGTGTACTTGTGACAATGCTTCAGATCTCATTTCTTTTTAATATAAAAATGTTTGTCACGTCAGGAGGAGGGGTGCACGAAACGTGTGCTTAAAAGAAAAAACAGTACCCCTCCCTCATGACTGGTCTCTAAATTTTACGTTTTAAAAACTTTATTCTGTGCGGAAATCTTCATCCTGATAATTATTTTTTCATCAAAAATATGGACCCCAACCACACTGCAAATTACAAATTCACTTCTGGTAATGCATTTTTATCTGCATAGCTGAAACAAATAGGCAAGTAGGTCAGGTATTAATTGTCTTAATTTTAGCAAAATTGTCGTCTACAATCAAGCAGGAAAAAACACATTCAATTTGTTAATTATTTTCAAATAATTAATTCTTTTCCTAAAATAGATATTTATTTATCATGAAGACTTGCTATCAGTTAAAAACTTTACTTCCTATGCAAGTCCTGTACCTTGATAAGAGGTGGTGGATGTTGAACTTCCTTTAATACGTAAGTTATATAGACGGAGAGAAGTTGATTGATTTGTGAGCTTGCTTTCTACCACAAGGCGTGAGAAATGCACATTTTCAGCAGATAAGAAAGGGGGGACTTCCTTCCGTTTACTGGAAAACGAAGTTCAGTGCCAAAAGTTATATAAAAATTATATTACAGCGATATGTATTATATGCATATAAATGCAGTGTCTCTTCAGCAAATCTTGTTCATCTGCTACCGGTAAAATGTGTAGCTGCGGCTAGAGAGGATGATTTCTTTATAAAGCTCTTAGGGCCATTTGTGAGAGATTAATAGAAAGATGCAATCGAATCTGCTCCTCAAACTGCTCCAAAAAAAGAATAAATTCTGGAACAAAATCATCATTTGAAAAAAACAAAAAAAAACAAAAAAACACCAGGACAATCTGCACAGATGATACAAACAAACTTTTGTCAAAAAATTTGAAAATAACAACATGAATCGTGTTTATGTAAGTAAAATGAAAAAGTTTAGCCGTATAGTTTTTAATATTTCATTCAAAGTTTCACAAAAATGAGATTTGAAGTGTCAAAAAATTATATAGATTATGAAGTATGGTTGCTGAAAGGTACACTGTACAATTTTAAACAGAAGGTTTACAATTTCTTGATATTTTAGAAATTTATTATTTGCCACATTTACCATTGAAACAAGCCCAAAAATATATACCAATCCAAACATCCATTTTTTGTTTGTATCATCTGTCCTTAAGGACAGAAAGTATTTTCGACGAACGGCTTGATTTAATTTATATGTGAAATAATATATTGATCTCTCTCTCTCTCTGGAAAATGGTGGGGCCTTTTGTTATCAGAATGCCCCTTATTAGCAGACCTAATTTTTGTATTCATATGAAGCCGAATTTATTCAGAATCGTACACATGAGAAACAGAAAACACTTTATGTGGCCTTACACAATTAGATATATATCGACAACGTATTATCAATTAGCAACATTTACTTTCATTCATATGTCGACTCGACATATCCTGATCATGAAATTGTTCAATTTTCGATCATAAAATAGCGATTAATACTCTGAAACAAATGAGCATACAAACCATCTGGGTATCAATCTGATCTGAACTGTGTAAGTTTTTTGGGGGGGTGGGGGGGGGTGGGGGGGGTGAGGGGGTGCAAAAAAGTCTCTAGCATAAACCATATAAAGGGCATAAAGGCACAATAAACCCCCTCCCCCAAAAAGAAATATAAACTGAAAAATGATTACAAAAGAAGAAACAAAACATATCTCGTGTCTCTTTTGTAAAAAAAAAAAAAGGGGGGGGGGGTAACAGGAACCTGATTTTTCTTCTAAAATGCTAAAATTATCGATCATAAAAGGGACAATAACAAAGTTATTAAATAAAAATCTCATATATAATGTCATTTGTAGTCCGGGGTGTTTTTGTGCAGTTTTTACAACACAACCATGGAAATGTGAGAACAAAATAAATGACGTTTTCCGATAAAACACAACGTCATGACATAGAGTATGTATTTTTTATTTTAAATTGTCACATATTTCTAGCTGATAAACAATGACATGTTATATATCATTCGAAAGAGGAGAAATTTGTCTATCAGGATCGCTAAACAACTCGAAATGTCAAATTTTTGACTTAAGGGTGGTTTTTGCTTGACGTTCATCATATACTTCTATGCATATCATGAATAAAATAGTTCTTAAACTAAAGGAAATGTTGACCAGATGATCAGAGATTCAACAGAAAGCATGAAAAATTGACCAGATAAACAATTTCTAATGTAAGCTTGAAAAGTTGACCACATAAACATTCTCTACTATAAGCAAGAAATGTTGACCAGATAAACAAGTTGCACTTTAAGTATAATGTTGATCGGATACAAAAGGAAAATTATACATTAATGTTACAATTGGGATGTGAATCATGTGTAAAACCATGTAGAATTTATAGGCCTATCAAAATAGATACCTTCCAAATTATATGAAAAGACATGAAATTTCTTAAGGAGGCTCATTACACCCACATTTTATTTTAGATTTCATTACAGCACCACTTATAATGTAGATGTCAAATATCCAAATGGAGGTTATGATATCATCAATATTTTTAGTGAATTTTTAAACTTTTTTTCTGATTTTAGTAAAAAAAATTTTTTCAAGTTAATTATTAATAGAATTGCAGAAATTTAAGTGTCAGGTGATGGACATCTTCTTTAGACATGTACACAAAATGACAATACTTCATAATATTTAATATTATTTTTATTAGAAAAAATAGTTTTCTCCAAAAAAAAAAACAATGAATGCCATTTTCTTCTTAATTTGTGCTTCAATAATTTGGAAAATGAGTTCTAAAGAGACAATGAATGTATTTCAATGAATTACGTGTGGCAAATTGAATGAAGAATGTTTTAACGAAATGAAAATTCCAATTTAAAAAATATTTGGAATAAAAAGTCCACTTACAAGAGTTACCTTTCCTAATTACCCAAGACTCAAAACACAAAGGAATGTTTGAACATTACATCTTAAGTCCAGAATAAAGCTTTAAATTTCTCGGGTATATAATTAAAACAATAAAAACAAGTATATAAATCAACATGAGTACAATAAATAGTGCAAGTAAATTATTTTTTTTTATTTCATCAAGGTTGTAGAATTTAACTCGAATTTCCTCCATACATACATGTTGTCATTGATAGAGCTCACACCGCTTTCGCTACATGTATGACATTGTACATTACTTGTTTATCGATGATTTGGGTGTTGTTTTCTTTGGTTTCTACATAAAAACAATCCTTCTTCGTGTATGCATGGTGAATCCGTTACTTTGTTTTCACTGTATACAACATCGCATGTTTAGTCTTTTTTTAAAGCGTTTTAAAGATCCGGGTCACATTATAAAGGAACTTGTAGAATTCGTTCCCAGAGGAAAACGGACGAAACAATGGAAGTTTATTTTTTTGTGTAGGACGTCATCAAAAAGTGGTGTAATGAGCCTCCTTAAATACTACATGTATTTTGGAAAATAATTCCAATGAACATGTGTTAATTATCAAAAATATTTTTTCCTGTTTCCTGGATAAACAGTAACATGTGAGTATGCATTGTTTCTAGGTAAAGTTTATTAAACATTTACGCCTGTCCTAAAATTGTAATTGGAATGTCATATCTTTTTATATTCAAGTTATTTTGAAAAAAAAAAAAATCAGAATCAATTAAGACAAGGTGAAACAATGTTTTGTTTTTTTTTTTGGAACTTGGAAAGCGTTACTTACCTTTGTTACAGAGCAATCCATGGTAGCCCGCAGAACACCCGTCAAAACATGTACCGTTACTATGGTGACACTTTGTATTGTTAAGACAATATCCACATCTCTGACTGCAGTTAGAACCGTGCATTCCAGCGTCACATTCTTTAAATATCAATTAAAACAAGGACTATGTATTTTAAAATAAAAATAAGGCTTATTGACAAATTATCATGTATGTAAACTTTATATTTAATTTTCCTATTTTTTTCCTTTTCTCCGATTTAATACACTTTATACAATTTAATTCCTGGTAGAAAAATCTATCATAACATTACTGTTTTGATCTTTGTATTATCTATATCTATCAAAGAGATCTTTAGTCTTATGACCTTTGTCATTCTTTTCATCTCTTCCTATTCTATATGCGTTCATCCTTTCCTATTCTGAATTCATACCTTGAGTTTGAAATTGTGTCACAATGTCAATGTTCTAAACTTTATCTTTTTTAGAACTTATAAGAAAAAAAAATACAGTATATGAATAATGAATATGAGGTACCTTGATCACAAAGGTTTCCTTTCCAACCAGGCTGACATCCCCCCTCACACTCTCCAGTAAACCTGTCACATCTTTTGGGAACACCACAGTCTATATTGCATTCATGTACACAGTCCTTCCCGTAGTATCCTGCTTGGCAGGCTTGAAATTAAGACATATGTATCAACGATAATTATAGGTTCTAAAATCACTTCATGGACAAGTTTATTATAACTGCAGTTTTTTTTTAAATTTTATTAATACCAATTATTTTTTTTCAGTATATTTCTTTTAAATATGACAATATTTATGGCAAGCTAACTATTTTTTCTGTGTGCTTGGACTAAACTATATTTAATCTTTATAAAATCTTACTAAAATGCATCTGTCATTGAACTGAATACTATTTTTATGCTAAATATTACGCTTTTGGTGAAAAAGCTTATAATTTATATTAGAATGAGAATATTCGTTCTAGTTTTTAACTCACCTGAGCCAAAGGCTCAAGTGAGCTTTTCTGATCACATTTTGTCCGTCGTCCGTCTGTCTGTCTGTCTGTCTGTCCGTCTGTAAACTTTTCACATTTTCGACTTCTTCCCCAGAACCACTGGGCCAATTTCAACCAAACTTGCCACAAAGCATCCTTGGGTAAAGGGAATTCCATTTTGTTCAAATAAAGGGCCACGCTCTCTTTCAAGGGGAGATAATTAAGAATTAGTGAAAATTTGGTGGTATCTTTTAAAAATCTTCTCCACAAGAACCAGTGGGCTGTAACTTAATTTATATATCATAGTGTAGATTCAAGTTTGTTCAAATCATGACCCCCTAGGGTAAGGTGGGGCCACAATGGGGGATCAAAGTTTAACTTAGGAATATATAGGAACAAATCTTTAAAAATCTTCTCCTCAAGAACAACTAAGCCACAATTAGTCATATTGTTGTGGAATCATCCTCAGGTAGTGTAGATTCAAGTTTGTTCAAATCATGACCCCCGGGGTTAGGGTGAAGCCACAATGGATGATCAAAGTTTAACATAGGAATATATCTTTAAAAATCTTCTCCTCAAGAACAACTAAGCAACGATTAGTCATATTGATGTGGAATCATCCTCAGGTAGTGTAAATTCAAGTTTGTTTAAATCATGACCCCGGGGTTAGGGTGGGGCCACAATGGGGGATCAAAGTTTTAAATAGGAATATATAGAAAAAAATCTTTAAAAATCTTCTCAAGAAGAACAACAAAGCCACAATTAGTCATATTGATTTGGAATCATCTTCAGGTAGTGCAGATTCAAGTTTTATCAAATCATGACCCCGGGCTGTAGGGTGGGGCCACAATGCGGGATCAAAGCTTTACATAGAAACATGTAGGAAAAATCTTGAAATTGTTTTTCTCAAAATCAACAAAGCCACAATTAGTCATATTGATATGGAATCATCCTCAGGTAGTGTAGATTCAAGTTTGTACAAATCATGACCCCCGAAAGGTAGGGTGGGTCTACAATGGGGGATCAAAATTTTACATAGGAATATATAGAAAAAAATCTTTAATAATCTTCTCCTCAAGAACAACTAAGCCACGATTAGTCATATTGATATGGAATCATCCTTAGGTAGTGTAGATTCAAGTTTGTTCAAATCATGACCCCCGGGGTTAGGGTGGGGCCACAATGGGGGATCAAAGTTTTAAATAGGAATATATAGAAATAAAAATCTTTAAAAATCTTCTTCTCAAGAACACCAAAGTTACAATAGGTCATATTGATATGGAATCATCCTCAGGTAGTGCAGATTCAAGTATGTATCAAATCATGACCCCCGGGGGTAGGGTGGGGCCACAATGGGCGATCAAAGTTTTACATAGGAATAAACAGAAAAAAAAACTTGAAAAATCTTCTTCTCAAGAACAGCAAACCCTTGTTAAGTCATATTGATATGGAAGCATTCTCAGATAATGTAGATTTAACTTTGTTCGAATCATGACCCCCAGGGTTAGAGTGGGGCCACAATGGGGGATCAAAGTTTTACATAAGAATGTATAGGAAAAGACTTTCAAAGTCTTCTTCTCAGGAACAGCAAAGCCATGTTTTTGTTATATTGAGAGGGAATCATCTTCAGGTAGTGTAAATTCAAGTTTGTTCAAATCATAACCCCCAGGGTATGGTGTGGCCACAATGTGGGATCAAATTTTTACATAGGAATTTATAGGAAAAAAACGTTTTCAACAACAGAAAAGCCATGTTTAGTCATATTGATATGGAAGCATCCTCAGGTAGTGTAGATTCAAGTTTGTTCAAATGATGGGGGGGGGGGGGGGGTAGGGAGGGTCACAATGGGGGATCAAATTTTTAACAAGGGAATATATAGGAAAAAAATCTTTAAAAATCTTCTGCTCAAGAACAGCAAAGCCATTTGTTATATTGATATGGAAGCATCCTCAGGTAGTTTAAAATCCAACCCCCCTTTAAACTTTTCAATACTGAAGTGATTTGTGATTTTTCCTAGCCAATGTGCTCAGACGAGCGATGTGGCCCATGGGCCTCTTGTATCAAGTTGCATTTGAAAAAGTATCTCTTCAAGTCTTTATGTATCTGAGAATGGTTGGCAAGGCCAATAATTTGCATAAACAGCATCGCTGCCTATACGAATAATCGTGTACTAACAAATTTCATATTTACCACATAAATGCCAACACAACTTTACATTAGATTGATGATTTAAGGATAAACAGTAACATGAGAGAACGCATTTTTTCAATGTAAAGTTTGTTAAATATTTACTCTTGCATCAAGTTCTAACTGTAATGCCATAATAATTTATATTCAAGTAATTCTGAAAAAAAAAATATGGATATAACGAACAGTAATCAAGCTTTAGAGTCCATTGATTAATTAATTGTATGCTGTTTAACGTCCGATTCGAGAATTTTTCACTCATAATAAGACGTCTCTGTATTCCATCGAAGGGATTCAAATTCAAACCTATACTCGGCACTCATGGCCTTTAAGCAGTGAGAGTTCTTTATCGTTTCAAAGCCCATGAGACCTCGGTTTTAAAGGTTTCATCGAAAGACCACTGACTTTTAATTCTAGTGCCGGGCGCTTGGCGAAGGAACAGTCACCACTTATGTTTACATCTTAAGTTTGTCTTGGTGCGGCGAATAAGAATCGATCCCGGGTCTCCCGACCACGAAGCGAACGCCTTACCAGTAAACGTTCATTGAAACAATAGAGCAAACCTGGACCTCTAAAAGCATCAAAGGTGGAATCAGTTTCCATGGAGGAGTTAGCATTCCCTTGTCGTGATCAGGCAAACGGAAAAATCCGTAGACAATTCAGTGTATATAATGGCCCAACAATAAGTATGAAAAATGTTGGACAGCATTCAACGTAATGATAGCTTGTACCGGTATTTGCTGACAAGGTCAATAAATAAGAACACGGAGAGAATGATAATAGACATTCCTTCCTGCTGTTCAATCTTATTCAAGGAAAATGAATAAAATATATTTTAAACCAAAAAAAAAAAGACAACGTGAGGTTACTTACCTTTGTTACAGAGCAATCCATGGTAGCCCGCAGAACACCCGTCAAAACATGTACCGTTACTATGGTGACACTTTGTATTGTTAAGACAATATCCACATCTCTGACTGCAGTTAGAACCATGCATTCCAGCGTCACATTCTTTACATATCAATTAAAACAAGGACTATGTATTTTAAAATAAGGCTTTTTGACAAATTTACACGTATGTGATCTTTCTCCAATTTAATAAACCTTACCAAGTATCACTATTCGGTTTACTGAAAGAAATATCTTTTAGAACATTACTGTTTTGATCTTTATATTATCCATATCTATAAAAGAGATCTTTAGTCTAATGACCTTTACTAATCTGCTCATCCTTTCCTATTCTACATGCATACTTTGAGATTGATTGTCTCCGAATTTCAATGTTTTAAACCTTTTTTTGGAACTAACAAGAAAAAGAACAATAATGATTAATGAATATTAGATACCTTGTTCACAAAGGTTTCCTTTCCAACCAGGTTGACATCCTCCCCCACACTCTCCAGTAAACCTGTTACATCGTCTGGTTACTCCACAGTTAACACTGCATTCATGTATACAGTCCTTCCCGTAATAACCTGGTTGGCAGGCTTGAAAGATAGAAATATTTATCGACGATATAAGTTTTAAAATCGGATTATAGACAAGTTCCCTATTACGGTAATTATTTGATTTAATGAATGAAATATATGGAGATGACGAACAGTATTCAAGCTCAAACGTCCATTAAACAATGCAAAATAGGACCAGTTATTTATTCCTGCAGAATATGTTTTTTGATAATTTAAACATTAACATTTTAAAGATACATGTATATGGCAAGCAAAATTTTTTTCTGTATGCATGGAGTAAAAAATATTGTTATATTTTCAAAAAAAAAATCTTATTATAATGCAGCTGTCATTTGACTGAATACTATTTTTTTTTATCAAAGGCTAAAAATTTACATTACAATGAAAGTATTTGTTTCAGTTTTATTAACTTGCTTTTAAAGTTGTATCTTTTTATGTACTTGAGAATGAAAGGGGACGACCGTGATTTTGCATAAACGACATTACCGCTTTAGGAATAATTGTGTACTCAAAACTTTAAAATTACCACTTAACACCAACACAAAACATTATAAATCGTCCATTTAGACATCTTCATATTGCTAGTTGTTCGAGGAAGAAGTATAATATAAAGCTGAGTAAAAAAAACCCATCACTTCAAACTAAGCTCTAAAAGTTTTATTCATTAATTATACGTTAAACATTCTTACCAGTTTGACATTTCTCTCCCTCCACTCCTTCACTACAGCCTCTAAGACACGTGCCGTTGACATGGTGACAGGTTTCTCCGTCACTGCAGTTACCACATGATAGAGAACACTCTAAGCCGTACATTTGTTTACCACACACTTAACAATAAAATAGTAACAAAATACGATCATCAATATCTATCCTACGTAGTACTTATATGAAAATTGTGAAAAGAAAGATTCAAAAGAAACAAATTATCAGTTTTGAGTTTTGTGAGATGCAACACTCACTTTGCAAAACTTACAATGACTACACATACGACCTTGATACCCCGGTTTACAACCCAGACATTCTCCTGTGGTGATGTCACATCTTTGCTCCTGACAGTTCTCAGGACATAATTGGTCACAATATTCTCCGAAATATCTTTGATCTGGGCATCCTGTTTATATAAAAAAAAATCCTTTAGCATTGAATTTGTTTTCGATCTAAATAAGGAAACATTATTAGTCAGGATGAATTCGCTGCTAAAGTGCATTTTTTCTGTATAACATAACATATCTTTAAAAAAAAAGGTACCATAAACTTCCAATTCACATAATTCATTGTACGCGTATTTAGAAAAGTAACTTGGGTACGTCACACCCCGTCTCCTCTCGTTGTAGTATATGACGTAACGTCCATGTACAGGACAGCTTATTGTCTGGTTCTCTGTTGGTGTACCGACTACTGTTTGTATCTCATGGAAACAAAGATAGCCATCGTCCTTCACCGTGGTATTAGAAACGTAGAGGAAAAATCCAGCAAATCGACCGTAGTAGGCACCAGGACCTACAAAAAAAAATCAATCATATTTTGTGCATTTGATTGTAAATTTGAGGTGATATTTTTTTTTAATCTTGAATAAGATAAATGTGGTATAATACCGCTTTTAATTTTTCCCTATATAAAATAATTTTACTGACAAATTGTTCATCCAGTGTGAAAGCAAAAGAGCCGAACGAACAAATATTTTAGGAACTAAATAACATCAACCGTTCTAACGTGAGTACAAAAAATTGCTACATGACAATGTATGGTAATTTTTGACATATGGGTAGCATTTACGCGATTTTTTTCAACGAAAAGTTTAAGAAAAGAGAGTTTGAGTTCAAGAATGATATTTAGTGATAGCAGAAAAAGATGAGTTAAAGCTTCGTTCCGATGGAAGAAAAAAAAAGGCCCAAGGGCCTTAACGGCCACCTGAGTATAACACAACAATTTAGAGGATCCATAGAGTATAAAATGAACTGAAAGGTGAAGCTTTGTTGCCCAAAAGCAAGAAAAATAGGGTGATCAGGATCAACAAAATAATTAGTCTAGTATTCATTAACAGTTCATAAATTAGGTTCTAATCTGTTCCCCATTTATCACTATCACCATACAGCATATTAACAAACTATCTGTGCTTTTGTACTATTCTAATTCCTTGTTGAAATCTCTTACATTGGCCTCTCTTGGTCTTTGGTGAACATTTAATAAGACAAGTTATTTTTGTCTCATTTTTCTTTATCTATTACTTACAAGTCCACCTGATCATTAAAACTATGAAAATACTTTTTGTATTATACAATAAAAATTCTTGCATAATTCTCTTATTCTATTAACCTTTCAAGTACATTATTTACAGTGATTAATTATCAAAAGTAAATGGCAAAGGGGAATAACTCCTCTCAGTAGAATACAAATTAAAAGAGCCTGGCCAGGACCAGAACACTTGACCAAATGGACCAGATGTTCAAAAATCTGGTAAAAATACCCGTCCTTATTTAAACTTTTACTCTTTTTGCCTCTGATATGCCAAAGTAGATTTTAAAGAAATAATGCATTTTTACTACAGATTCACTATATTATCAATAGAGACCCCACCCTCCCCACCGAGAAACACCAGAGCCTCTCACCCTGGGACCAGAAGTTTGCTCATCATAAGTAATAAGTAATCACTTTGTTTATCTGCTTAACACAAAGGAGCAGACAGGATTATTTAATAGATTTAATGCATTTTCACTATATTATCAAGAGTCCCACCCTTTCACCAACACATCTGACCCAGGGGTCATGCAATTCACTACTCTGGAAGAAGCACTCTTGCTCATCATAACTATATACTTAGCTTCTATGCTTTTTAACTAGAAGCAGAAAAGAATATTTTCAGAGGAATTTTGCTTTTTCGCTCTATAATCAATAGAACCCCTCCACCTTTTCACCAGAACCCTTGACCCTGGAGACATAAAATTCACAATTTTGGAAGAGGCATCCTTGCATATCATAACAATGTATTTTGTTTATATAGTACCCAGGGGCTGGGAAGAAGATTTTCAAAGAAATAATTCACCATCACTAAAGGAGCTATATAGCCCCACCCTAGCACCAGAACCTCTGTCCCTGGGGCAATGAATTTCAAAATTTTGGAAGAGATATCCCTGCTTATCATAACAATGTACTTAGTTTGTTTAAATAATACCCAGGAGCAGAGAAGAAGACTTTTAAAGCATTAATGCATCTTCACTATATAATAAATAGAGCCCCGCCCTAACATCAGAACCCCTGATCCAGGGGCCATGAAATTCACAATTTTGGTAGAGTCACTCTTGCTTATTATAACTATGTATTTAATTTGTTTAAATAATACCCAGGAGTAGAGAAGAAGATTTTCAAAGAAATGATGCACTTTCACTATATGATCTATATAGTCTGCCTTAGCACCAGAACCCCTGACCATGGTGCTATGGATTTCACAATTTTGGTAGAGTCACTCTTGCTTATCATAACTTTGAATATTTAATTTGTTTAAATAATACCCAGGAGTAAAGAAGAAGATTTTTAAAGATTGCATTAATTTTTGTGGTTTGAGCCCCACCCCTCAGGCCCCAGGGACCATGAATTCACAAATTTTGTTCCCCTTCACACATAGATGCCATATGCTAAAATTGACTTCAGCGGTTTCAGAGAAGAAGCTGAAAATGTTCAAATGTTAACACACGACGACGGACGAAAACAGATAGCAATAGGTCACCTGAGTCACTCAGGTGACCAAATAAAAATCAACAACTGAGGTAATGACCTTGCAGTAATCTCACGGACTGCTTCAGGACTTATCAAATAGTGCTATTAGCTAGAAATTTTGCACATTTCTTTTATTTGTTTTTGGTAAATGTCCTGGAAGTTTCATGAATTGATCTTTTTTTTTCTTTTATGGAGTTAAAGTATATGTCAAAAAAAAAAATATCCGAAGATCCCTCGTACAGCTATACTATTTGCAACTTTATAATAAAAGAGTGTCAGTATGCATGGAAATTCTCATTCTTTTAAAAAATTTTTGTACAATTTTGTAATTTCGTAAAAGTACTTTATCCCTGATGGGGCCAAGTGTAAGCAAAGTTATCAAATTCGACTATAGTACACGAGTTTGCAGCATTTTCCATCATCTTGCAAGAACAGAGACAGTTCCATCTCATGTTTTTTACAGAAATTGGGAAGGTGTGAATATCATTCATATATCAAATCTCTTTATTTACTCAATATCGGTGTACTTTAACCGGGACTTTTATATTAATGCCTCTGCCTTGAAATTGCAAGGGCATATAATATTACCCCCTTTCCGTCCCTCACTCTGTATAAGTGTATGTCTTTTCGTATATATGATGGGTTCATTTTAATTTTTTCTCTTGATATTCATGGCTTACCGATCGAATTTGAAAAGTTTAATAGAAACCCGACAAGGTTAATAAAATGTCGTTTTTTAAGTATACAGTCATTGAAAGAAGGGAAAGGGATAGGTCAAAATGGTCTTCCATTTCGAGTACATTTAGGTACAAATTATCAAGGAGCAGGACCTTGAACTGATGAAAAATCTTAACTTTTTAAAAAATATATTTTTATGCATTTAATAATAATTTAGAATGTTCTCATAGTTTAAAGCTAACATCCAAGCCACTTTATTTATTCCTTTCAGAGTATTGTTCCTAAAGTGAATACCTCATGCTGATAGACCTGGCTTACCCGGTCTTCTAGCTAGACCACGGATTAAATGGCTAAAGACAAGGGAGATACTTTTTTTGTGAATTCATCAAACATGCAATTGTGTCAGATGAGAGAAAAACATAAAAATTACAACCCGTGGAATTAATCCTCTATGCAATACACAAATCAAGTAACCTACAAATGTGAGAACCGTTGGGTCAAAGATGAAGGATAAGAAGACAATCTAAAAGAAATTTCATGGCCCTATATGATTGTGCTAATTTTTAAGTATACCTAACCTCCTTATTGAATTTTCAACGCAAACTATTAAATGTACAGAACTTTTATGTTTATTCCGTTTGAAGATAATACATTCTTCGGGCAAAAGTAATCGTCACTGAGTCAAAATACACAGATGGCCGTAAAAGTTGTCATAGCTTTTTTTCCCCATCGTGCTATTTATGGAGAACTTATCGGATTCGGATGTTTAGCCAGCGTAAACGTTACTAGATTGTGATGACCTAAATATGTAACATTTTGTCAGTTTTTCTCTAGAATTTGTTCAGTAATTACATTTACAAAATCGCAACGATGGAAAACGGAGGAAATTCAAGTTGCCATTTTATAACAAGGTAGATGAAGTCTATTAAACCGAAATTAATATATCAAATATTGGTAGATTGTTTGGAATATCAGGCACAACTATGTAAGTATATAATGAAAAAATGGAAGATTTCGACGAACTTTCAAACCTGGTGAAAAATAACGGAAGAGAAACTTAAAGTAAATTTACAAATATTAATAATTATGGAAAGGAATATTCTTTATTTTCTTAAACTACGAAAAGAAAATAATTAATTTGAAATTTCAAGACAGAAACAGCAGATGGTTGTCATTTGATGTCACAGAAAAATATGCATATCATTGAGTAAGGAAAGAAAGAATTGGAACTGTGGATCGTCATTGGAAAAACTAGGTGTACGGTTATGTATGCCAGCTGATTAATCGACTGTACTTTTTGTGAAAGGCCGTCAAAGAGGACAACCCTCATCTCGTGCATGCGCCTTCCAAGACCCAACTTTCTGTTTTGATATCGGCTTGTATATGTTTCAAAATTACAGTAACTTAAACAAGTGTATATAGAGGTATTTACTCTGAAAAATATATGGATAAATTTTAAAACTATTTGTGACCTATTATCCTGACTGAAGTCACATCTATCACAATGACGATGTCCAAATACATCGATCCCGATTATTTGGTGTCTTTATGGAGAAAAAAAATTATCGATACATATTGGGCAATGTAGTCTCTAGTTATAAAAATATTAAAGACAATTTTGCAGGTACGTTAAGGCTTCCCGTGGAATATCGCAGTGTACCCTGTGCCTTCACTTCTCTGAAATACAAATGTATGACGTCATAATTGAACTGCAAACTTGAGCTGTTATGATAGGGGGAGTGTCATAAACTGTACTGCCTATTTTCAATCTGCCTATAAAATGTCAGAAAGCTATTGTAAAATAAACGTGTTTTAATCGTATTTTTAGATCTTATATGTCCGAATATTTTAAAATACTTTGCTTTATTACTCCTGTTTAAATTCAGCGTGTTCAAGGTATATACGAAAAATATACGTTTGACATTTACCCTTTTTAACACCAGTGGATAGAGGTAGAATATATAATATGTGTATAAAGGAACCTGGCGCATTTGATTAGTGAGGATTGATTTGAGATCTTTTATGGAAATCTGTAAGAGGAGTTTCCCCTCTAACTGAATCTTGCTTGGGGAAAATGTGTGATGGCTTTGTTTTAACACAGATGACGATATTGAGTGGAAAATACCCTCAAATTTGTCGGTAAGTTGAATGTATTGTGAAATATTTTGTACCCAGGTAATTGTATAACTTTTCCCAAGCACATTTCGGGTTCACAAGGATACGCTGAGTTTATTTATATGACAAAAAGTTAATAATAATTGTGTTAATCAGCTGCGCCGAAGCGATTTGTGTGAAACACTCAAAAAATTTTAAATGACCGTCACGTGATCAAGGAAGTCATGTGATATCATAACGAATATGTTTATAAATAGCTAAGGGAACTCTTTGTGTAAATTGGCCGTACTTAAGTACATAACTTACAAATTAAAATCAAAACCAACCTTGCAATGCAGTGTTATGTTTTGAACGTATTTAAATCTTCGGGAAGCCTTAACACTGCTGCGTTTTGGTAACAATTTAAAAAAATCAATAAATCATCAAAAATGCCATCTGACCTTGTGAGCAGCTAATCATGGAAGTATAAGGGTTCTGGAAACACGTAAATATATATTTTATTCAGCAGGTTTATTCAACAATTTCCTCCAAGACAAGGAAAAGTAAGTAGAGGGTTCCAAGGAGCGCACGCGTCGCCTGCTTTGTGTAAATAAATCTAAGAGTGGTCAGCTTCTTATTTACTATTAGCATAATAGTTCGTGCATTTGTTTGCAAAGAAATAATGGCATCAATGGTAAGTATAAGACTGCGATAGAATCTGACAATAAAATAAAATATGGTTCGGTTATCCTCAAAAGAATAACTAATTAGAAGTTATTAGAAATAAATATTCATCATTTTATTAATATGTGATTCCAACAAAGCTCCAAAGGAAATTTCAGTCTGTCTTTACTGCAATTGTCAATCTAAATGATTTGTTGTGAAATAGTGATTTAGATGTATTTTCATAGTATTTAAATATAAGTTTGTCCGGTAACTGAACACCACACAGTATCATGAGATCATTTACATACATAAATGATAATTATCAAAATTCTGTCTATCAAAATTCAAAAGTCATAAGAAAAAAATAAACTACCCGGGGTATTTTTTGCAAAGAAAGTCAAAGGTCAAGTGGATTGTATGCTGGTATTTTTACATTGTCTTAACAAACAGTGCGCATGCTAAACAGGATAGATTTACCTCTTAAAAGTCAAAAATATGCGGTATGCACTACGATTTATTTTGAAAAGAAACTCAGAGGTCATTGTCAAGGGTCAGGAGGTTGGTAACCATTGTAATTTACAAAAGCCATAGTACCAAGCAATATATTTGCAAAATATCAAATCCATAATTTTTACAATTTTGGAGATGCAGGGTATGACAGACAAATGGATAGGAATATTTATGCCCATTGACTGTATCTGCATGATGTTAAGGTCAATAGTAATTTTAATGTACTTAATTTTTTCATGCCATTACATGTAACACATGGGACAAATCTCGGAGAATATGAAAATCTCAACATGTAATCATTCCACATGAAAAGGATAACTAGTACTATTATCAGGCTTTATCCAAATGAATGTTACCTTCACTTATGAAGCTCAGGAAATATCAAGGCGCTCGAAATCTCATATCATTTGAATTCTGCATATACACACATAAACATATATAATAATACTTCATCCTTAGTTTCACTGATTAAATATTTGAAACATTATACATACTAGGTACGTTATCTGTCCTGTAGTAGATGTTGATGTGACTGATGCTGACCACTCTCTGTAGATCTACTCTCAGTGTCGCTGTTTGTTTTCCGTCTGCTGATTGTGTGCATTGATTTCCTCCTGCTGAACGGTCAGTATATTTCCCGTCCACCGCCTTGTCTGCTCCCCAGTCTTTTTCTTTACCTGGGAAATTGTTCTGCTGCCAGGCAGAGCTCCGTAACGCTAAGTTAACTTGCGAGAAAAAAAGTATATATGAAGATAATGAACAGTAATTCAGTTCAAGAGTATAAAAATAAAACGCTCAAAATATCTGTAAAAAGACAAAACAGAGAAAATTAAGTCATACGAGGGTTGTTAGAAAAGTTTGTGGATAATTGATTTACGGAAAATATATTGTGTACTTTGAAGAATAACGTATGTCTAGTAAAACTTAAATTTTGAAGTGCGATCTTACGATTCTCGGAACATTCACTTGACGTTTTTTGACGTCAGGTGACTTGACAAACTGATTCCAAACCTGTTAAGCTTCTTCACGTTTTTAAATATAATTCATATTTATTATACTTCTCATGTCTTTTCCTTACTTAAAAATTGAATAACTATGTCAAGACATGTTATTTTTGTTCTAAAATGTCTGTTGTGGAATATTGGATATTAGTGAGAACTTAAAAACAATGTCTACTCAGTTCAGCGATCAGGTACGAGAAACAATGCAAAATCCATTGGCGCAACACCCAAGCGATAAGAAGGATATTGGGATATCACAGGAGTTTATAACAAAAAAATGTCAATCCTTCCATTCTCACAAAGTTACTACCACTTGAACACTTTGGTACTAGACACTTGAATGCAATCCTCAGCATCATATAAAAAGATTTAAGTCTCCCTGTCTTCACACATAATTTCTTTATAGCTCGGTACGTGCTCCAAGACGTTCAATGACTTTACTATTCTTGGTTTCGTTTTTACGCATTGATCATCCACAATTAGCAATAAATCAGTCATATCTCCTCCAATTTAATTCAAAATTTCGCAAAATAAATGTTTTGAAAATATCTTAGCGACAGGTGAAGTATCAAAAATCTTTATGCATAACAACGGTGCAATTTTAAATTTCATAAAATGTCTCTGAATGTAAAGGTGCCAAAAAGTAACATGCTCCATGAAGCATGACTTATGTAAATAATTAAGCTGTATACTTTTTAAAGATCATGAAAACACCAAATATTTGCATATGTATGGGAAAGTACGGTTACTTTTTATCTGTGGAGATTTAGTGATTTAATGCGAATAGCGCGCTCATTATAGAACTTGTCCGTGAACTTCCTAACGATCCTCGTACTCATTCTGATACCCTACAAGGATATAGTGATCAAATTACACGCATCTTTATAAGGAATGGGAAAAAAAATTGAAAGAAAAGATTTACAGATAACAGAAAGAAAATAACTTACAATAACTACAACGCAGACCTTGATATCCTGATAAACAACCATTCACACAGTAACCAGTAACGGCGTCACATTGCTGTCCCGGACAGGTATTTGGACACGTTTGGTTACAATATTCTCCATAATATTCAGGAACAGGGCATCCTATTTAACGAATATTAATCTTTTGATTATCTATAACTTACAGGCCGAAAATCTCAAGAGTGATTCACTATGAGGATTATGAATTGATATACATGCAAGCGTTATTCTTTTTTTTTTTTTTTTTTTTCTTTAACTTTTTCTTTTCTTTTCTTTTTTTTTTTTTGAGAAAAAAGAAGGGGGGAATCCACTTTTCTCGGGACAGATATGTAAATTAATAGTATAAAAAATAACATATTTTATAAAAGAAATGCTTACATAAAGTCCATTAATGAAAACTGTTTTTCTTCCGTCTCGTTTGTTGGTATTAAAGCTCGTATCTTTCTACTGTTTCAGAATATAACAGATCTAGATTGATTAATTTGAATTTCTTTACGCCGAGTCTCTAGTATTTTTCTATATTTAGGTATCTAATTTTGATCTTCATATCAGTTTTTGAAAATTTTTTGATTGGGTAATTTTTAACGGCCCCCTTGAGCCTTCTATTTTCAAAAACCAGAAAAAACGATCTTTTACGTGCCAAGGGGGTTGTTATCCTTGATACGGGGACACCATTTAATGTCCCATCCGACGGACTTATGATTTTAAAAAGTAACTAATTAAAATTAATTTAAATTAAAATTTTTAATTGCTATATTTGTGTCAAAAATAATGTGTCATTTAAATGATTTTTATCTCATGGAAATTAGCTGCGCTTAAAAAGAAAAACAAATTTATGAATACTAATATTTCTATAAGTTATGCGCTGTTTCCATCGTTAACACGTTATTATGTCTACTCTAAATAGGCGAAAAAATTAAAGCATACTGACACAATATATCCAGTAAGTAAGTATCCATGATAGTTAATTTCTTCATGCCAATTACATATTCTTGAAAAAATCTCTTCGTCCTGATGTTTCAGGCCGAAATCGAATGATATATTAATTTTGTTTTCTTAATCACAATTGTAGTGGTCTCGGAGGTGCTGGGCACGGATTACCCTGCTACCTCCGACCACGTGGTACACGACACGCACCTGCCGTGACGTGTACCTATCCTCGCTCTCTTTTTCTGTTATCTGCTGCAGGGTACAGACGTGTCTCTGTCAGCTCCGTCATTATTGTATTTGTACATTTATATAGTATATAGCGGGCACTAATAAATCGCGGATTTAATTCTATCATAGTGTTTTCTCTGTTCCGCCATCACCGTACATAAGTAGTATATAGTAGAGAGGAAACGCTATATTGGCGCTGCGAGCAGGGTATTTTTGTTTAACTGCGGGGTAATACCTGGCCCGCACGTGTAAGTGTCCGTCGCCATCTTGGATATTTTCCGAGATGTAAGGCAGCAGTATTTTTTTTTTATTTTATTTTGTATATACGTTTATACTTGCGTCTCTTGTTATAGCGGATTAACCGCCTCATGTAAATTTATATTTGTGCCGTTTTGAGGGTGATTTAATTTTTTTTGGTATCGGGAGGGGGACTGTGAGGCCTAGTTGGGACTGGGACGTTCGTGTTGGGGGAAATGACCAAGAGGGTCTGGGGAGTACCCCGGTAGGGCGCAGTCCGCGGGAAGTCCCGCCTTCCGGAAGTGTGAGGTTTGCTTCGGGTGTGTGTAGCAAACCGATGCCCCAGGGGGAGGGTGCCTTGGATGTCACCCGGTATGGGGGTGGAGACATGTCGCTTACACGGGGAGGGGGGGGGGGCTGATTCTGATGGGTTGTTGGAGACGCCCGGTTTCCAGCAATTTTATTCCCTGCTCCAAGGACAACAGACTATTCTTCAGGGGGTCGTTGACCGAATTCAAAGGGAAATGGGTCAAATTCAAGGAAATATTACACAAGGTCAGGGTAACCTTGGTGCGGTTAATAGCAGAGTAGATAGCCTTGGTCGGGATGTAGGAGCTCTGCGGGACGATATAGGCTCATTAGAAGCCAATTTTACTTCTCAGATGGGGACTCTGAGAACCGACGTGACGTCTCAAATGGGTTCTTTGGAATCAAATATGGGGACTCGGTTAAGCGACATTACTCAAATGCTTGCGGGAATGATGGCATCTTATAAACCGCAGTCAGTAACTGAACCGCAGGATCTCAAGGTCACTGCCAGCCCGTCTGTAATGACTAGTAGCCATGGGAGTCCCTGGGTTCCACGCTCATTGCCAGAGCAGTGCCTTCCCGTTGAGCAGCCCGTACCTAATTTGTCGAGTCGCGGACCCGTTTCTATTCATAATTCTGAGGTCACGTCTGTTTCCGCATCTCAAGGTCAGCCACTTTCTTCAAAAGGCTACAGTAGTCTTGGCTCAGCCTTGCCGAGTACTATTACATTTAGTTTATCAGGGGACACAATGAATGGGGGGTATCCTATACATCCCAGCATGGGCACACCCGTCCCGGGTCATGTTGCTGGGGGTATGGGTATGCCAGTTACAGCACCCACTGCATCTGTGTATTCTAGTGCAGCTAACTAAGTTCTCCACAATCGCTGAATACCATCAGTGGGGTGACCCCGATCGTCTGTTTGCCCCAAGTTTGACATTAAAGGGAGCAGCGCTCAAGTACTTAGATATCCTGCGTCGCAGGGGGGCCCTGTTAAGTTTCCGAGAAGTTGTCCTCCGAATGGAGGAGAGGTTTGGGAATAGTTCCTTAAGGGCAGCGTCACAGCTGGAATTCAGTTCGATAGGCCAAAAGCCAGAAGAAACCATGGAACAGTGGGCAGATAGAGTCATGGACACTGCCCAGAAGGCCTTTGGTGGCGGAACCTGGCCAGAAATATTTCAGAAGCAGCTCATTGTTAGATTTGCTCTTGGCTGCAGTGATGGACACTGCCTAGAAGGCCTTTGGTGGCGGAACCTGGCCAGAAATATTTCAAAAGCAGCTCATTGTTAGATTTGCTCTTGGCTGCAGTGATGGTGAGGCTGGTCAACAGTTGATCAACAATCCCCAATGTATTCTAGTGGAGGCAATAAAAAGAGTAAAAACTTACAAGTAAAGCCGCCGTGCAGTGGTTCGTCGTCCACGTGCAGTGAGGTCTGTTTCCTCAGAGCGGGATCATGAAGGGCGGAGAGATTCTCGCTCGCCCGCCGCTCACCGACGTAAGCACTCTGATTCCGAGTGCCGAGATAAGTCGGAGGTTCGGAAAACTGGTTCCACTCACGACTCTAGGGAGAGAAGTAGGGACCGTAGCCCAACTCGTAGACCTATGAGGGGGAAATCAGCGAGTCAAGGCCGCTCAAAGAGTTCAGGGACAGTAGTTTTTAATGAATGCAAAAAACCGGAACACATACGGCGGAATTGTTCGCGTAGGAGTAACCCAGAGTCCCTGTGCTCGTGTCTGAAAAAATCTGCCGAGACTAGGTCTAGGGAGCATTCGTCTAGTGCTAATAGGGTGACCTTTTCTGATACTCCAAATGTCAAGGCCACTTATGTGATTCCCTCTATAAGGTCAGGTAGTCAAAGTATAGGCTCAGGTGCGTGGCGAATCCTATACAGATAGGTGGCCAGCAAATTAAGGCGACTATTGAAACTGCAGCTGACATCACGATAATCTCGGGGGAGGTGTACAAGTCATTGAGGCCGCAGCCCGATATTGTTAGGGACCCTAATGTCAGGCTCGCAGGCGAGGGGGCTGGTATGACCGCCCAGTACCTCGGACGTTTAAATCTTCGCATCGGGGATTATGATTTTGCTCACCCGATTTATGTTGGCCCCTTACAAGACGAATTGCTTTTGGGAATTGACTTCCTGTGTGCACACGGCGCAGAAGTTTCCTGTGAAGCCGGTACATTAAGGGTCAAGGGCATTGATACGATTTTCGCCCTGAGTGCTGATGAGACAGTGCCAGTACTCGATGCGGTGTCAGTCCGCAGAGTGCGGGTCCCTCCGCACTCAGTTACCGAGTGCACCCTTAGTTCCGATATGCCAGAATTTATACTGGAACCAGTCAGTATATTTCCGCCTGGTATAGTAGCTTCGCGGACATACAATGCCGCAGGAAATAAGGCCAAGCTATGTATCCTAAACCTGACCGACAGAAGTCATATAATCAAGACTGGTACTACAGTAAGGGAAGCTGCTCCTGCTATGTCTGTTAAGGGTACCGATCCCACAGTGCGCCGCATGTCAGCGGAGGGGGAGACTAGTTATAAACACACAGCCCCACTCCTAGATCAGTTAGGGAAGAGTGTGCCTGTGGAGGTGAAATCTCAAGCTGTAGAGCTAGTTGAAAATTTTGCTGATGTCTTTGCTGTAGATGACCTTGACCTCGGAAGCTTTTCCGAGATGGAGCATCGTATAGATACCGGCGATGCACTTCCCGTTAAACAGCGGATGGGCCGCACTCCTGCTGTGTTCCAGGGGGAGGAAGAGGGTCATCTAGACAAAATGTTAGAGGCCGGAGTTATCCAGCCATCTTCTTCAGACTGGGTGTCTGCCCCGGTCCTAGTAAGGAAGAAGGATGGTAGTGTCCGCTGGTGCGTGGACTACAGAGCCCTGAATAAGGTAACAGTCAAGGACACGTACCCCCTACCGCTCATCGAAGAGTGCATGGACACGCAAGCGGGAAACCGCTGTTTTTCTAAACCGGATGCCAATGCAGCCTATTGGCAAATTAAAATAGCTCCGGAAGACCGGAAAAAGACAGCCTTTATTACCAAATACGGACTATTTGAATTCACAAGAATGGGGTTCGGTCTCTGCAATGCCCCCGCGACCTTCGCTAGGGCCATCAATCTGGTATTGCACAGACTTCACTGGAAAATTGCATTAGCTTTTCTCGACGATGTATTAGTATTGGGGGCTTCAGCACACGCTTACCTTGATAACCCGAGACCAGTGTTTGAGCGATTCCGAGCATATGGTCTTAAGTTTAAGCCTCGGAAGTGCGAGTTATATAAAACTAAAGTTGAGTTCCTTGGTAGAACCGTGAGCGAGCACGGAGTCGAGATGGGGGATCAGTACATTGAGACAGTACGTGACTGGCCTGTTCCTTGCGACGTGAAGGGCGTTGAGCGTTTCTTAGATTTCGCCAACTATCACCGTAGTTTCATTCCCCATTTCTCGAGAATTGCGGCTCCGCTGTACGCCGTTACCGGAAAGAGTGGTTTCCGATGGGGGGCTGAACAACAAAGTGCCTTCGGGGAACTCGTCCAATTAATGACCAACCCCCCAGTACTTGCTATTCCGAATAGTACAGGTCACTTCATTCTGGATACTGACGCCTCGGATCATGCCGTAGGCGGGGAACTTAGCCAGGTCAAGAATGGAAGAGAGAGAACCTTTGGGTATGGCAGCGCAGTGCTGTCATCTGAGCAGCGCTGGTATTGCACTACTAGAAAGGAGTTATTGGCGGTAATTAAGTTCACTAGACAATTCCGCCATTACATGCTGGGCAGAGAGTTCACAGTCCGGACAGACCACCATAGCCTGGTCTGGCTGATGAACTTTAAGCATCCACAGAATCAGATTGCTCGCTGGTTAGAAGAGCTGAGCCAGTACAATATGCGGAATAGTCCATCGCCCAGGCAAGAATCATACCGATGCGCTGTCCAGAGACATACCAGACACATGCCAGAGTTACTTTACTAAAATCAGAGTCGAACGCCTTTGACAGTGGAGACTCAGTCCACTGAGGGGGGTAATTATAAGATGTTAGATCCTACTCTCCGTCAGGCTATTGTGACAAGTACTTAGGAAGATGTTCCATTGGCAGCAGGTGCCCCTGAACTTCCGAGTTTTGAAATCGCTGTCAATGGGGTGTCGAGTTTAAGTCCCGAGATTGAAAGCCTCAAGATTGTCAAGTATAACAGGGTGACACTGCGGGAATTTCCCTATCATCTTACAGTCCCGCAGATATGGCTCATAAACAGAAATCAGATCAGGCCATAGTTTACCTGAGACAGCACTTAGGGTCTGCAAGTTTACCTACCTAAAGTGACATGATTATTTGTAGTCTGGAAGAGAAATGTTTTCTTCTGGAGAGAGACTGTTTTACACTGGACGAGACGGGTGTTATTTGGCGAGAACCGGAAGACTCGGATATGCCTCGTGGATTGTTAGTTCCGAAGTCTTAGGTCCGAGGTCAAGCACTTATGTCATGACATTCCGTCGTCCGGTCACCAGGGTATACAAAGAACTAAAGAGAGACTTAAACAACAGTTCTATTGGTGGCGGATGGTCAAGGATATTAAGTTATATGTCAGGACATGAGACATTTGTGCCCGGAATAAGAGGGGTTCTTTGTCGAATAAATCGGAAATGAAAAGCTACCAGGCCGGAAGTCCGATAGAGAGAGTGCACTTATAGACTTCCTTGGGCCGCTACCCCGAACAGATATCGGAAATGAATATATACTCATGATGGAAGATAACTTTACCAAGTGGGTTGAGTGCATTCCGCTCCCGTCTCAAACAGCGGAGGTCACGGCCAGGTCAGCCATCAATGATTTCTTTTCGCGATTTGGCTATCCCTATGAAATTTTTACAGATCAGGGCCGTAATTTTGAAAGTGAGCTTTTCTGTAAAATCTGTACAATGTTGGGTATTCATAAGGCCCGGACCACGCCATACAGACCTTCCGGGAATGGCCAAGTAGAATGGTACAACCGCACCTTAATGGATGCGGTCCGCTGCTACATTGATGGTCAGCCCAAGACATGCGATAGGTTTTTGGGTCCACTGGCTGGGGCATTGCGGTCGGCGGTAAATCGCCACACCGGATATACTCCAAATCGTCTAATGCTGTGTAGAGAAGTTAACATACCAGCAACCTTGATGTTTTTTCCACCCCCTTCGGAGTCTTTTCAAAATGGGGAGGAGGGTGAGGTTGACAGGTATGTACGTGATCTAGAACAGAACGTGCAGAGCGCGCATGACATTGCCCGCAAGAAACTGAAGGTCGCGCAAAAGGCAATGAAAAGGTCGCACGACATTGAGATCCGTACCCACAAGTTCAAGGTCGGAGATTTGGTGTAGTGGCGCCGCAATGCGGGAAAGAAAGTCGAACCTATGTTGAAAGGTCCAGGTATCATTACTGAAGCCAAATCTGACACCGTATTTGTTGTCAAGTCTCGGAGGGAAGTCAAGGTCATGCACCATGACAAGTTAAAAATGTGCGAGTCGAGACAACTCCCGAAATGGCTAGTATCATATAAAAGTAGGTTGTCTGGAAAATCCGCAGTCCGAGACCGAGTTAGTTCTCCCATGAGTGATGTAGCTCAGCCGCTGGGGGCCCTAGGTTCAGGGGTAAGTCCTGGGGACCCGGGAGTCAGGAAAAAACAAGAGTAGATCCACAGCCAGTGGAAACAGAAGGTCCATATCTGGGTACCCGGAAACGGGTAAGGGAAAGGTCAGAACAACCAGATAAACCCAAACGACCTAGAGTCACTAAGGGGGCTAAGACCAGACAGTATTGTTTATGCTTACAATCCAACCCTAAAGGTTTGATGGTTCAGTGCGACAGTTGCCGGGACTGGTTTCTTCCCAGGTGTGTGGGTATAGGTGAGGATTATGCTAAATCAGTACCTCAATATGCTTGCCCCGAATGCAGTCCCGTCAATGTTAGCAATCGATAGGTTAGGATTCCGCAAGGGTGCGGAAGCATGTGCTGGCGTGATTGTATATATGTTTGTTCTTACTGCTAGGGAAGCAGATCTTTTTAATTATACTGGGATATTGCCCTGATCTTATGATTTATTTACCCCCTATGTTCCAGGGACGATGTATTGGAGCCAGTTCCTGGATAGGTCGTTCGCTCCGTCGCGGACGTTATATCACGATAGATATCATGTCTGTCCTGGGCTCGGATGTCCGGATCCGGAAGTGCCGACCGAAGATGCACCGGAGGACCACCTGATGAGGGAGACAACGATGGACCCAGTGGTAGACCCGAGCGGACTCGGAAGAGGGATGCCCAGGACCAGACTGACGTGATGTATCCTGTGAACTGTGATATTATAAACTGTTAATTTTTATTTTATAATTTTATAATGGACATTAATATGTAATTGTTATTAATGTGTAAGACCCTGCTAGGATTTAATTGTTTTATTTTATGTACATTGTATTTTGTCCCATTGTAACGGGCTGAGACGCCCTTTTTCAAAATGGGGAGGAATGTAGTGGTCTAGGAGGTGCTGGGTACAGATTGCCCTGCTACCTCCGACCACGTGGTACACGACACGCACCTGCCGTGACGTGTACATGTACCTATCCTCGCTCTCTTTTTCTGTTATCTGCTGCAGGGTACAGACGTGTTTCTGTCAGCTCCGTCATTATTGTATTTGTACATTTATATAGTACATTGTATATAGCACGCACTGATAAATCGCGGATAAATTCTATCATAGTATTTTCTCTGTTCCGCCATCAACATACATAAGTAGTATATAGTAGAGAGGAAACGCTATACAATGTTTATTGAATCGAAAGAAATGGTATGCAGTTATATCTTTGAGCTTACCGTAAACTTCCAATTCACACAGCTCATTGAAAGCATACGCAGAGTAGTAACTAGGATACGTCACACCCGATCTCCGTTCATTGTAATATATCACATATCGTCCATAAAGAGAACAGTTTATCCTCTGGTCCTCTACAGGTGTACCACTCACAGTCTGTATCTCATGGAAACAAAGATGACCGTCGAGTTTTGAGGTCGTGTTCGAAATGTAGAGGAAAAATCCAGCAAATCTAGTAGTGTAAACACTTGGAACTAAAATAAAATGAATCGAACAATTGGGAAGGAACCTACATAAATGATTCATTGTTTTATGTTACAGTATCTTTCTAATATGTGACATCACCAAGTGAACATTAATGGTCTAAATTTTGACTTTAACTCGCCTCTCTGGACCACCATGCAATGGGGCTTTTTTATAGTGTCAACGCATACCGGGGCCTGGATTCTTCAGATCTCGTCCGAAAAACCAACTAAGCCTCAAAGTGCCAAGCACTAGGCAAAAGCCCAGTGCTACGTATTTCTGCATACGCCTACCAATAGAGGTGATGGTCGATATATACGAAAATCATTTATATTCTGAAGGAAAACAACTGCTTCCAGATTTTATATTCCTATTTATATATATTTAAAATTATAAAACATCGTTCAACTTCTAAGTAGTTGCGGTCTTAAAGAAGAAAAGTTTGAGATTAATTTACACTTGACCTGAACATGATTTACTTTTCATGCAGTGGTAAGAGCGTTTGCTCCAGAGTCGCGGTGTGAGGCGTTGATCCACTGCGAGACTTAGAGACTGGTCCCTCAGATGAGACCGCATACACCGAGGTTTCATGTCGCAGTAGGTGCTGGCTTGAAAAAGATCCCTAACTGCTCAATGGCCCTAAGTGCCGAACAGAAACAGTAAAACTCCAATTAAAAGTATGTTTCCAGGGGTCTGCAAAGTATAGGAATGAAAGTTTTACAGGTCCATTGATTGATTGATTGTGTGTCGTTTTGCTTCCCGTTCGAGAATTTTTCACTCATAGAAAGACGTCACCATATTAGATCTTTACTTGGTACTTAGGGCCATTGAGCAGTGAGGGTTACTGATCGTGCCAACGCCTACCGTGACATAGGTCCTCGGTTTTTAAGCTCTCATCAAATACGCAACATTCCAATGTGCCGAGCGCTTGGCGAAGGAACAGTTGCAACCTATTTTTATCGACTTTGGTGTTGCGTTTGCTGAATTTGTTATTTAAATTTCAAAAACGTAAGAAAAGACACAAATATTATATCAATAAACATGAACTATTTATTTAGATCATAAAATATTAAAAATAATATTTACAAGTTTAATTTACCCTAGTTACCTTTTAACGTAGGTCGCGGGGTTGGTGACCTTTAAAAATTGCTTGAAAACATATTATGAAAATTTGTTATTTGAATCTCCACGTTTTGTTGTGCATTCTCTGAAAATTTTATAAAATTCGTCTGCATCCAGTTTGCGTTATTAAATCCCAAACATGCCATCGTTGTCGTAACATTTTCGACGCTATTCTATTGAATACTATAGGGAAACGTTATTTTTTACTCGATTTTAGGCAAGATTTCGTCCTTAAAAAATCTCAGTAATTTTTAAACGGTGAGGATGAAATTGTTCCCCTTTTGGTCATTTCATATAGAGATGATTTCCGATAAATCTATGTAAAAAAAAAAAGTCTTCGAATTAGTTTTCTCGGAATTTAAATGCGAATTATTGCTTTTACTTTGCACATTTTTAAGAATGACGCTATAAACTATCGCGACGTCACGCTTGACGTCGTGAATACGGTCCGGTATAAAATAAGAAAGAAATTTGTCTATATACATTTAATGTAAAATAAGCACAGATGTATGAGTTAGGTAACAATGTATCTTGTCTGAAACTCGTTTTGATTCAGTTTTTAGTATTTGCACTTAGTTCCAGGCACGTTAACGAAAAGTTTGAAAATGTGTTTAAAACTCATGTTATAGGAATTATTTGCAAAATATGAGGGTTTTTACAATAAGTAATCAGTGTTCCGAGACGTCCGGTGCATACAGATCGGTAGGTGCAGCGTTATTTTCAAAGAACAAGCCATGTAAACAACCGAGTTGAGCAGACGCCATTACGGAGCCTGCATACCTTTACTTTTTTTACATACCAATAAGGTACATACATATTTATAAACCAAGACCCAAGTACCTGTGAAATAATGGGGGAGGGAATATTAATTAGAAAATTTAATTAGAAAAAAAAGTTTTGTTTATTTTTAACACACTGGGAGCTAGTTCCTATACACGATTCCTTTCCCAAATTTTACAGAGTTATCGCTCTTTGCCACACGGCGGCGTTGTCGTCGGCCGCCATTACGGTGCTGACATTATGACAAGAGTGACACTATGCCATATGAATAAAGGGGTTGCAGACACTGTGTTGTCTTTGTTGTACAAAGGCGAAAAAGCTGAAATACGATTGCTAAAGGTTGTCAGTAGCAAATAAACCCGCTGAGAAAATTTACATGTTTTAATATATATATATTTTATTTTATCTGTTTGATTGTATTTATTAGTTCGCCTATGGATATATACGCCCGTAGTGCTATTTATCCAATTTCTTTTTATTTGACGTCATGTATAATTTTTATACACCATGTAGTGTTAAACTAAAACACAAAAATTAAAAAAAAAAACCAAGAAAAAAAACTATATTTCGTGTTTAACAAAAAAAAAAATAAAAAATAAAAAAAAAAAATTGATATTTGTTAGTTAACACCTATCGATAAAATCTAGACGACCGTCGTATTATTTATCAAATATCGTTTTATTTTACTTTATGCATTATTTTTATACTCCATGTAATAGTGTTATACTAAAAAAAATTTAAGAAATGAATTTAAAGTTGTTTTTATTTAATTTATTATAATTAAAACTCACCCTGGCCCTATATATATAGAGCAACTACCTATATATAGAGCATCTGCCGAGAAATCTACATGCATGGCGGTAAGAACCGGGGGGGGGGGGATTAATTTTGCCGATATATAGAATACTATAGAAAACATAGCTGCTATGTGCTTGTGCACCCTCAATAATAACGTCTGATGCCCTATTTTTTTTTTTTTTTTTTTTTTTTTTGCTTGTCAAGGAATTTTGGTAGTTGATAGTGCCCCCTCAACTGAAAATGTATGGTTGTGCCCCCTCAAAGTGAAATTGCTTCCTACGGGCCTGACATGTATAATGTTAACCTCTAAAAATATGACTTACATGTATTACGTTTATAACATTTGAAAAGGAAAAGCATTTAAATAAAAATACTTCTTTAGAATATAGTGTGCTTAATATTAAACACAAAATTAATTAAGGCGAACGGTACTGAATTAATTCATAAATTATTTTCATTATACAGTAAAAAGTCTTGAGATGATTGCACGTGCATATGAAAACAGGATTGTTGAAAAAAAAATATTAAGAAATAGGAAGTGTTACATGTGCATAAAAGGACTTGTCACGTGCT